AAGGAAAGGAAAGGAAAGGAAAGGAAAGGAAAGGAAAGGAAAGGAAAATTTAATAATATCAACTATACAGAATAGCCATACAATAATTAGATTGTAAATGGCCATGAAGCAGAAATGAGGATCAATCTGTTATAACTTTTTATGTAGAAATGGATCAAGTATCAGTTTCTACATAATTTTATCTGTTTATGATTTGTACAGGAGTCGTAAAAGTCTTAGTGCAGTTTTAAGATAATAAGGTTTAAGTGATACCAATCTATATTTCATGGGGAAAAATGGTGGATAAGATGGAAAAATATATCTCCTTCTATACAGGAGGTCCCCAAATTATTAGTGCAGTTTTAACCCATGATGTCTTTAAGCTGTGAAGGCTTAAAACTGCACTTTTAGGACACCTTGTATAGCAACAGGCATATCTTTACATCTTATCAACTATTTTCCCCCTACAAAATGTTTAAATGGAACTAATTTAAGAAAAAATAATTTTAAAAAAACGATCATTATAATACTGACTTGCCATGATTCAGTGAACAAAAAAGACTTAAAAATCCCATCTCTTTGAAAACTAATAGGAGTATTTTATGGAAATAGCCACGAAACACTGGAAATCAATAATCTTTTAAATTTTTTAAATTAAATCTTCAAAATGATCTCTGCCTACAGAAGTTACCCAAATTAGTGAACAACACAGGAAATAAGGAACATCTCCCTTGCTCACCACCTGAAGGCAAACTATTACCTTCAGCACTGGCTGTAGGTAACTAAGCACTATTTTGGTACACAGGCATAAAGCGCATATTATCTTTGTTTACAAAGTCAATCTATTTTACACAAACAACACTGAGAAGAATGTAGATAACTTCTACAATGTTACTTAAAAAATCTTTGAAGCTATGCATGATCTTTTTAGTTCATGGAATAAAAGAAAATAAGAATAATGTAAATTAACTTTCCATTTAGATATATATTCAGTTCTCCACAACAAAAACCCATGTAAAGAAAAAACTTTTGATAATCCTCCTGAAGAGTATAACTTTTATTTCTACCTATCTGATCCACAGTGAGGATTAAAATGAAAAGTATTTCTTTTATTTATCTTTCATTTGATTGGGTGTATATACAGGGCCACCTGAATGAAGAAAAAAGATTAATCATGTCTTTGAAAACAAAATTTTCACTTTTGAAAACTTTAGTTTATAGATCAGTAATGTCAGAAGACTTGAATTCAGTCCTCACTTTTTATTTACTAACTATGCAAGTTTGGAAGGTCATTTAACTTCTCTGGCCCTCAATTTATTCATCTGTTGATGGGGATTAATAATGTTTATGCTACTTATCACAAAAAATTGTTTACAGTTGTAAAGAACTATATAAATGCAAGTTATTTTATAATTTTTGCTTCAAAACAGTAAATATGACATACTTTCTAAAAATGGAACACACTCTATTATGAGAATCAATACAATGGAGGTCCACTGTGGGAATTTAGTCAAGCAGCCTCAATTATTCCATGATTTCAAAGTCTGGACCTATAAAGGCCGTATTATAGTAAATTTCCAGGATAGTAAAATTCCAGAATAATATATAACAGAAAGCACAAAATGAAAAAATTACTTTATTTGACCCATTATTCCCAAAAAGGTAAACCATAAAATGAATGAATTTCTGAATATAGTGACATCATGACATTTGGGAGCTTTTATTTGTAAGCTTCCAATCTAACTTATAACCCTTAAAACTAATAACTGAACAAAATCATATAATTTCACAATAAAGAGCATAAAATGATTGTTAGAGACTAGGATGTTACCAGTACTCATTCTGGGAAATAATTGCTATGTATACTTCTACACACAGATTTTCAGGAAGCCTGTTTCATTACACCAGCTT